GGAAGGAGGAGGAGGCCGGGCTGGGGGAGACGAGGACGAGGTCGGGGACGACGAGGGGACGAGGGGGGAGCGCGCGATCGGGGAAGGGCCTGGGCTGGGGTCGCGCCGCGCGCCGGGGCGCGTCCGGATGCTCAGGCCCGGGAGGAGGCGGCTTCCTTCGTCGCAGGTCTTAGGGTCCGGGCGCAGTCGCCGCCTGCGTGGAGCTCAGTAGCGCCTCCTTGGCGGGTCTAAGGACAGGCGGGGTCCTCCCGCGGCTTAGAAATGCTGTCTGGGCGGTCGTGCGGGGGTAGTGGGAGGCCACAGGCCTAACCGGCCTCGCCCTGGGGGTGGGCGCTCGGGGGCCCACGCCAAGCTAGATGCGGCAACTACAGGAAGCGTGCCTTTGGGCATCAGGTCGCCTCTCGGATCCCCTGTCCCTCCCTCAGCTGGGCTGGCCCTGCTGTCCTCTCGGAATTAAGCTTGAGGGGGGGGCAGGTACCCACGGGAGATGTGGGCCCTGAAGAACCCAGCATAGAAATAGCCGCCATGGCCTCTGCTTATAGGCGAGTCCCGAGGACCAGGCGGGGAGGCAGGTGTGGCATGCTCACTCTTCAGGGGGACAGACAGGCACGGGGGATTCAGCAGTAAGGGATGGAGCCAACATTTGAACCAGGCAGTCTAGGTCCAGGGGTTCCGCTGTGCATGCACATCCGGGCTGAGGACAGATTTCCCCTAAGAAGGCATGTCTTGGTCACAGATGGCAGAGGTGTGGCTCAGAAGCCCGCCAGGGTTCAGCCCTTTGCTGCCCATTGGAGTACTGTATGTGTCTCTGCCTGGGCTGTGAGCTGCAGAGAGCAGCTAGGGGTCCCACAGCCCCACAGCCCCTGGCCCAGGTGCTCATGGCCAGCTTGCAAGGGGAGGCGGGGGGGATGCTGGAGTGTGAGCTGCCTAGGGAACCACTAGGGCCCAGGGGGCCTGCAGGCAGGGAAGGCTGGCTGGAGGAGGAGGTCTTCCTCTTAGGGCCCTGGGAGAAAGCTGCGGGGAGAGGGCAGACCACTGAGCCTTTCCCTCCTGAGCAGGCCCAAAGAGAGGGAGCTGCTGTTCTGAGCCCTTTGCAGAGACATCACCCCTGTGCCCCAGATTCTCTTCATCACCCCGCCCAGCTCGACCTGGGAGCCTTCCCTGGCCACCCAGCTAAATGGACGACCAGCCTGCCCTCAGAGCAGGCCCGCCCCTCTCAGCTCCAGGAGGCCATGACATGTCCCGGTGTAGAACTGGTGCTGGAAACGGTCTCTGCACGTAGTAAGCATCGCGATCTTTGCCTCTGTCTCAGATTTATCAATGAAGAAGCTGTGCTCAGGTTGAGTAAAGTGCCTAAAGGCACAGGGCTCGGAAGTGACAGAGGTCTGACTCCAAGGGCCCAAGCTGCCTGCCTCCCGTCCTTCCTCCCGGCCCAGCCCAGCTTCTCCTTGGCTTCTCCCTACAGACGGGGGGAGGGCGAGTCCACGTCCTCGCCTGTGCCTCGCATTGGGCAGCCACAGGTACAGGTCTGATCCTGCCCGCCCTGCTTCACTCCTCCCTGGGAGCCCGGCCCGCTTCAGGCGGGGCGCGCGGAGCCGGGAGCGCGCGGAGCCGGGAGCGCGAGGGCGGGGGGTGGGCTGGGAGTCCGAGCCCCGCCCCCGGCAAGCGTACCTGCTCTCGCCGCCCCGCCCCCTCCCTCGCTCCCTCCCGGGGCGGCTGCTCGAAGGCGCAGAAATGTGGATGTGGAACTTCTCTGCGAGCCTTGCGCCAGCGCCACGCGGGGGCTGGTGGCGGCTCTGCTGCGTGGGAAGAAGGAGGAAGGACACGGCCCGCGGGCGGGGTCTGGGGAGCACCGGCCTTCCTGCCCAGGCCTCTTCCCCTGGGCTGGGCCCCTCCTGCCCCTGCTGGCCTGTTCATTTAGAGACCCTTTCCTGCCATACATCAGCTCGCAAAGCCCTGTAGCCTGGGTGGGGGCCCAGAGCGGACTCAGACCGGCCAGGCCCTCAAGGAGCTCTGTGGGGGTGACAGCGCCACCAACTGCAGGACACCCGGGAAGCCCTGGGGCAGGACCACCCCCTTGCCGTCCCTTTTTCACTCAGCGACTCGAAGCGCATGGGCCAGGCCCGGGGGCTCTCAGTGGCCATTACTGGCTGGACTGTGTCCCCTTAAGATTCACAGGTTGAAGCCCTAACCCCCAGGACCTCAGAATGGGACTGTATTTGGAGACGGGGCCTTCTAAGAGGTGATTAAGGTAAAATGAGGTCATGTGGGTGGGCCCTAATCCAGTTCCACTGGTGCCCTTGTAAGAGGAAATTTGGACATGCAGTGACAAGGGGCACTCAAAGAGGCAGCGAGAAGTTGGTGATCCGCAAGCCGAGGAGAGAGGCCTCGGAAAAAACCAAGTCTGCCAGCACCTTGACCTTGGCCTTTCAGCCTCTGTGAACTGGAGCCCCGGGGAAACAATTTTCTGATATTTAAGCCACTCAGTCAGTGGTATTTTGCAATCCTAGCAAAGTGACATAGTGGCCTTCCACGCTGGGGGGCCTGTAGTTCTGTGCTCCGTAAGGAGGGGGCCTGGCCTGTACAAGATCCCACGCTCCTGCCCAGGGGGAGGAAGAAATGAAGTGAAGGCCAAGTCTTCAGAACACGTGCTTCGGTCACCCGAGCTGATGGGGACAGGGTTGGGTGGGCGTCAGGCCCGACGTGAGACTGAGCACAGCACGGGAAGGAAGGAGGCAGCTTTGCCCTCCAGCAGCTGCCGGGCTCTGCTGTGTGCCCGGAGCTGGCTGCGAAGGCCTCTGACAGAGCATCCAACACAAGCCTTCGAAAGGCTGCGGCGACCCAGCTCTCCTGATGACCTCCAGGCCACCTCGCTCACCTCCGCCCTGCTGGGTACACCTTTCCTGTGCTGGGCCCTGGCCACGTGCCCTTCCCCCGTGTCTACCTGGGAAACTCCTGCTCAGCTTCTCCGTCACCCCAATCCCCTCCCTCCATGTCCCCGGGTCCCTGGCAGCTCGCTCCCTGGGGCTTCCAGCAGGGCTGCCACACATGGCCTCAGTCCCACCTGCGGTCTGCAGGGCACTGCTGGTGCCTCAACCTGTCCCTGGTCTGCTGTGCGCACAGCCGGCCCCAGCCCTCCACAGGGGCTGGGTGTGCCCTGGCTGCCTGCTTGGCCAGAAAGCGTGGGCTCAGCCCAGCAGCCAGGCCCCCCGACAGGCCCCTGTCCAGTCTGCAGCCTTGGGCTGCGGCCCGAGTCTGGGCAGCTCGTCTAAGCCGGACGTCCTCCCCAGCAGTGGCCAACGCTTGCTGCCCTGCGCTGTGCCTGCCAGGCTCCCTCACACGTGGGCTGCCTGGCCCCTGATGTCTTGTCTAGGCACATGGCACTGCCACCCAACACCTACAAGTGTCCCGCTCACTGGGCACCCATGCCAGAGGCCCAGCGGCCCCTCCCGCACAGAGAGCCCTGGCACCAGCAGCACCTTCTAGCATCAACCCTTGCATGGCCTCTGACCTACTTTCCCTCTGTCCTGGGAGCCCCTGGCCTTGTTTATGGTGACAGCTGCCTCGCGTCTTCCCAGTCAGCCACACGACTTGACAGCAGGACGCTGCGGGTGGGGCGGGAGGGCACCACACACTGGCCAGCAGCAATGCCGCCCTCTGCCCTCCGCTCTGGAGGAGGAGATGTCCACCTGCCGCCCGTCGGGGCTGCTGAGCAGAAGCGGGAAGATCAGCTGTCCCAGGAGTCTTGTCGGAAGCCCTTTGTCTCCCAGTGCGTTTCGTCAGTTACCCATCTAACAGGCCTGGATGAAGTCATGACCACGGCTTCCTGCTAGAGGCGTTTTGCAGATTATACGCGAGATGTCAAGTTCTCTGGACCTGGATTGTCTGGGAAAGTCCCCTGTCACCTTCAGCAGGGCAATGGCAGCCTGGCAAGCAAATGACCCACATGGGGACAGCATCCGCTCAGCCCTGTCACCATGTAAACCAGCTTCGGGGGGAGGCCTGGGATGTCGGGGCATCCGAGAAAGGGCGTAAGGGGTTTTTGTTTCCCTTTCTATTTGGCTGTTTGAGGATTTCTTGGCCATTTTTACATCCAAAAGAGATCTTAGCGTCCCCGGTTGCTGGTGTGAGGTCCGTCTGTGAACATGACGTATGTCTGTTTTGTCTCAGATCAAGCAGGCTCGAACCCCGCTCTAGCAGCAGACTGGCCCCTGAGCCTCAAGTCCCTCGTCTGTGAAACGGGGACAATCAGCTTTGCCGCCAAAGAATGCTGTGAACTGGGTCCCACCTGACAGCAGAGATCAATCGACACGGGGCATGGCGGCCCCAAACCCCGTTTCCCGGCTGAGGTCTGCAAATTGTGAGATGCCTTCTTCCACTGGGAGTGTAATCATGGCCTCAGGGCGCCCCGCACTTCCAGTGTCCCCCAGTTCCTCCAGACCTCGACTCGACGCCCTTTCCCAGCCCTGGGCCAGGCCGGACCCTCCACTAGGAGTACTCGGAGCCAAGGCCCTCGGTAAACCCCGTTTCTGGGCCCACCGGATCACCTGTGCCCACGGTGAGCCTCGTTCAGGAGTCCTTGTCCCGGGCTTGGGTCCCGGCCCTGTCCGGCCCTGGCACACAGGAGCGCTCCGTGAACACGAGTTGTGGGAATAGCTGCACCCGTGTTCTCCAGAGGCTGCCGCCCCCTCTGGCCTCGGTTTCCCCATCTGTAAAGGGGGTGGAGAGAACTGCTCCGGGTCCCCCGATTCCCGTCAGCAGCGCTCCAGGGTCCAAGTTCGAGTTCCGTCGCTTTCTGCCCCTGGTTCTCATCCTCTGTCTGCACAGCCCAGGAGGGAGCAGCTTCCAGCTCGTCCCTTATTTTCTTTGGAGTCCTCCCGCCCGTCCTCCTGCGGTGTCCTCTGGCCCCCGGTCACTGCCCAGCAGCCTTAGTGCAGCTCGTCTTCGTCTCCCAGGAGCGGGTGTCAGCCACTCTCCAAGAACAGCCCGCAGTTCACGCTGTTTCCGCTGATTTTTCTTCTTTTTTTGGTGGGTGCAGGGGGCGGATTTTGTGTTTGTTTTCAGACTCAGTCCTGTATCCTTGTTGATGTTACTGAACTTCTGGGTTGAACACAGCTTGTGTTTGTTTGTCCTCCACCTTTAAGTTCATTTTTGCCTCCACGGGGTGTTTTCTGCGTTCCCGTGGGCTCGTGTGAGGCAGGTTTTCTGCACCAGGCTCCGAACGCAGCCCCATCCCTCACCCTCCCGTCCCAGACTCACCTGCCTCCCGCCCCTGGTTAACGCAGTTACCTCCCCGCCCCGCTTTTAAAATAGAAAACCCGGGCTGCATCCAAACCCCTCCCTCCGCCCGGGGCTCTCCCCGGCTGCCTCCCTCCTCGCGGCTCCTGGCTGTGGTCAGCAGCCCAACCTGGGTCCTTGGTGTTTTCTGAACAGCCAGGCGTGACCTCACCGCCGGACACTTGAACGTGCCGCTTCCTCGAAACATTTCATCTGCGACCCCTATAGGCTGGATCTCCCTTCGCTCCCGTCTCCGCTCGAATGAGAGCGACTTTCCCACCCGCCCCCTCCCCTAATCGCTCTCCACCGCTCCCCCTTTTTATTTGGAAAGCATTTATCGCCACCCTGATGTCGCCGTGGGCGTTTCTGTGCTTGTTCGTTTAAGGCTCATTGATCACGCTGGAACGTGGCATGATCGACGGGCTTCACGCAGGACCCCCAGTGTTTCTGTGTCTGTAATATATACGTGTCCCCATGGTAACTGCGTTGTTTTACCAAGATTACGCAACAGGCCATCCCCCGACCCCCGACTCCGTCTCGCCCCAGCCCGCTTCGTTCCCACGGCCTTCAGGCTAATGGCTTCTTGCTAATGGCTTCTTGACACGTAGACATGTCAGTCATTACAGGAATCCTGCTCGTGGCTTGAGGTTTACAAACCAGACCCTCACCAGAAAACTGCCTCCCCCAGGAGGTAAGGGAAGTGAGTGTTGTTTATTAAAGATCTGCGAGGACCTGGTGACCGGACTCTCATCAGCTAGGGCCAATGGCCTGAGTACACTCTTCCGGGGACCCTGTTGGTGCCCGGACGTCCACGGTCATCCGTCGCCCTTGCTTCTCCCACTCCCCCTCCCCTTGAAATAAAAGAAGCCTGAACTCTGTACTTTCTTAAGATGGACCTGAGGATTAGGTCTCCCACCTTCCCCATCAGTAAAACTTTCCTTGCTCCAAACTCTGACGTTTTGAGTTTCGGCCTTTCGAAGCATCGGGCACATGGACTTTGGTCCCGTGTCAGTTACACAAAGGGTTTGCGGTAGATTAAAACACAGAGTTCAAAGGTATACTGCTTACAAAGGCTGCTCCGAGGACAAAGTCGAGGGAAGGGCGAGGCGGGGTGAATCCGCACCCTTTTCCCTCCCCGGCCTCCCCGGCCAAGGCCGCTGGTGGCCGCCTGCTCTGTGGCCTGAGACCCTGCAGGAAGGATGACAAGTCAGTGACACCTTTCTGGACCCTCCTAATTATTGCCTTCTCCACCATCATCACACCTGAGAGGTACTTCTGATGATGTCTCCGTCCCACCCTGGCCAGGCCCCCACGTGACCGGTGCTCCACCCGTGGGGTCCCAGGGGTCCTGTGGACTGAGCCTCAGGACCAGCCACCCCAGTTTCCTCCTCAGGCTCCCCTCCTCGACCCCACCCCAGGGTGTTAAGTCTACTGCACTTCCAGGGTTTTGCACTTGCAAGAGTCTGGCCTTATTTCTTGACAAGCCACGTGCCAGGTGTCAGAGGGGCCTGGGGGCAGAAAGACAGCTGAGCCTGGCGTTGTAGATTAGACCTGAGGGCCGCTGAGGGCTGCAGCTGCCGGAGCAAAAAGCGGGTGGGGAGGCTGCGAAGGGGGGTTAGAGGTGACAGATACAGGCTGGAAGGTCTGCGAGGCCAGGGGCCTTGTCATTTTTACGTTTGTGTTCTTTGTGCCATTACGGAGCCTGGCAAAGTATAGGTCGTCAATAAATAATTGCTGAATGAATGAATGAATGAATAAAAATGCCAGCACAGGAAAGTCAATGGGACAATTATAACCTGAGACGAAGTTGAGTTGAAATCAGGGGCCGCGCACAGAAACACTGACTGGGACAACGTTAGAGCGTGGCAGGGCCTGGGGCAGACCAGACAGTACCCGCTTGTCAGCAGGTGACAAAGCCTTTCGGCCCTAGTGTAGGATCATGGCCCCTTGTCAGACCGTTAGATCTTTCAAGAGAAGCCAGAAACCCTTGTGAGTTTTGAATTTTGGCAACTCATTCTAATCCAAAATATAGAACGCTCGGCAGGACAGCAAAGCCTGGACGCAGGCTCAAGGCGTCCAGAGCCCCGCCCGTCGGTGACGTCTGTCCTCAAACTCGGGGAGTTAGGCTAGATTTAAGGGGTAGTACAGATGTCCCAAACAGCACAGACTCAAATTTATAAAGGAGAAGTTTCTAGAAGTGCAAGGAGAACATAGTGGACATGAATAGTGGACATGAATCCACCACGCAGGTGGATTCAGCTGGGCCAGGAGCCAGAAACAGATCCCTGGTACCAGGCCCAGAAGCCCGGGCTCAAAGTCCAGGGCGCTGAGTTCACTGGGAAGCTGGAGCAGGCAGTTGCCACATAGAAGCCATTGTCCCAGGTGAGGGCGGGGTGGGGGAGAGTCTAGATTAAGCCTGGTGGGCGTGAAGGCATAGCTCATGATGGGTCGCCCTAGCTTTACCAGCAATAAAACTGACGATTTGATCTGTGTTTGACTTCTGTGCCTTGTCTCTGGCTTGGTTCTGAATGTCGGAGGGGTATTACTTACTAGCCCCCCACCCCAAGTCCCAATAGCTGCCTCTGTGTCCCCTTTGGGTACAACAACGAACCCCACCCTTTTCGGAGCCCGCTGTCCCCAGAGTAGATTTCTACTTTGGCACCTGAAAACCTAGGTCCATTCGCTTCTTTTCCTTCTCCTGAGTAAACTCATCCAGGGCAGACACCTCGTCCAACTGCCTATCCAACGGCACCCAGTGGATAAAGCTCCATGATTGATTGGTGACGTCCGCCCCTGGGAGGCACACGGATGGGCAGCTGTGTTGGGCCAGGTCCCCAGAAAGCTCCAGCCCCAGTGGTTGATGCCAAACTCTGTGGAAACACTTCCACAAAACCATGTCAATCACAGCGGGACCGCAGCCTGAAACAGCCACCGTATAAAGAATCGGGGGCAGACGATTATTAAGCTGATATCGACATTTCTCCAAAGCAAATTTACAAATGGCCAACAAGCTCCATTTACAAATGGTCATTAGTTGAAATGTAAATCAAAGCCACCACGAAATGCTGCTTCACACCCATGAGGACGCTATAATTTTTTGAATGGAAAATCACAAGCGATGGCGTGGATACGGAGAGATCGGGACCCTCACACGCGGCTGGTGGGAACGCGAAACGTGGCGTTCCCGTACCACCTGGCGATTGAACTGAAACAGGTACTGGTACTCATGTTCGGAGCAGCATTATTCACGATTGCCAAAAGGTGGGGACAACCCAAATGTTCATCAGTAGATGACGGATAAGCAGAATGTGGCGCACCGTATCACGGAATATTATTCTGCAGCCGTGCAAAGGAATGGCGTGCGAATACAACGCGGATGGATGTTGGAAACATGTTGCCAGGAGGAAGAAGCCAGACACAAAGACCGCAAAGTATACGATTCCACTGATGCGAAATGTCCAGAAAAGGCAAAGCCACAGGGACGGAAAGCAGAGCCGTGGCTGCCGGGGGCGGGGGGAGGGGCTGGGGGGTGACAGCTGATGCGCGTGGCCGGGGCGTTGGCAGCGCTCTGCTCCTAAACGGCAGTGAAGGTCTCACGACATCGCGAATGCACCGAATGTCGCTGGATCGTACGCTTTCAGTGATTAGGATGGTAAATTCCGTGTGATGTGTGTTCGACCGCAATTAACACTGCTTCCTGCTGTGGCCACCCACGCAGGCAATGAGGCTGCCCCAGAGTGGCCGTGACACCAGAGGTGGAGAAGGTGGTCAAGAGGCAGGCACGACGGGGGCGGTGACCGCCAGGATGTGGGCGGGGAGGTGCAGACGTTACTGTGACACGTGTTGACCTACCTCTCATCGTTGTATCGATTGGCCCCCGCCCCGCATCTGGGAGGGTGGGTGCCTGTCTCACGGACAGGAGCATATGGGAGGAGCAGATTGGACACGCCGAGTTTGAGGTGCCCATGGGGTGCCCACAGGGAGTTGTGTGTGTGGGTCTGGGCGGAGGTCATGTGCAGACCCCTCGGTGAGCAGACGGGAGTGGACCTACTCAGAACAAGAGAGATTGGACCGGGACCAGGGGCCCGTGTCCTCGTTACCTGGGTCAACCCTAGACTACCCCTAACGTGCCTGCCTCCTCACAGCAGGTGACCCTTCACACAGGAGGCTCCCTGCTGGGTGACTAGTTATATGGTCACCCACCAAGATTTCAGGGCAGGGCGGTGGGAGGCGAGCGGGGGTGACCAGCCAAGGGAGGGCGGGGAAGGGTGTCCTCATGGACCCCCAGCTGCACCTATGCCAGCTCTGGGTCTGTCCCTCCCTGTCTCAGCCACGAAGCTGTCTGGTTTATGGGTGCAAAAGCCAGGGTACCGATGGCAGAGCAAAGTGGCTGAGGGCTTGGGGTTCCGACCCCGACTCTGCCTGGAGGACTATGGACCTGGGACCAGGGTTTCTGCACCGGGTACTAATGACATCTAAGGGCATCCTCTGTAGTGGGGACTGTCCCGTGCTCTGTAAGATGTTCAGCAACTCCTCTGACTTCTACCCACCGGCGGCAGCCCCTGGTCGCGACTCAAACATGTCTCCAGATATTGTCAAATGCCCCGGGGGTCAAAATTGCCCCCACTGAGAACCACTGCCTCAGACAAAGCACCTGATTTCTCGCCACCTTGGCTTTGTCCTCTGTCCTTGCAGACTCAACTCTACCTCATGGGGTGGTGTGGGGCTCGGACATCGCGGATGCAGAGCCACCAGGGTATCCGCAATGGCTTGCTAGGTGTCAGGTGGTAGAACAGGAGCAGGTGCCAAGCGTCCAGCTCAGTGTGGCGTCGCAGTAGGTGCTCGAGCAGAGGGTGCCGCTTCTGCGATGGCCCGTGTCCTGGGCAGCAGTCGCAGATACCTGGGAGGTCCCGGCCTGGGGGCTTGGGGGGCCTGCCTGGCCCCACGGCTCAGACAGCGTGTTTTGAGGAGTGGGCTTCCATGACTACCAGGAGCACCCCAGCCTTCCTCCCCTTCAGGGCAGCCAGCAGCCAAGTCAGCCAGGAACTGCCCCCACAGAGCAGGCCCACCAGGATCTGTCCTTGGGGACCAACTCCTCCTGGCCTGCCTGGGACTTCTGGTTTTGGCACTGGAGGTCCCGTGCCTTGGCAAATATTTCTGTTTCAACTGGCAGTCAGTCACCCTAGGCTGCCCCAATCCAGGTTTCACAGCCTTCCCCAGGCCTGGAGCCTGGCAGCTGGGCCACTGGGCCGCCAAGCTCTCTAACTGGGCTCACCTCAGGTGACACCGGGTGGGTGATCTCATTTAGGCCTGGAGCAGAAATAGAACAGGCACC